AGAGCCCGGATTCCAGGCCTCCTCTGGGGACAGAGGCCGCTGACCCCAGACCCAGGTATGCCTGTCAGGTGTCCCCTGGGAAGCCTGGTGGGAGGGTGGAGTCCAGGGTGCTGCCTGGGCATGAGACTGATGAGTCGCATTTCCTGGCACTGCCAAGGAAGCTGCCAGAAACACCCCCACCCCCCACCCCAGCTCTCTGCTCCTGAGATCAGAAGGACCTGCCCAGCTGTGACACTTTGGGCTGCCCCGTCACCTCTCCAAGCCTCAGTTTCCCCCTTTGCCCCAGCATTGTGATTCTCTGCTCCTAGCATCCTTTTGCTGCAGTTCCCAAGGAAGGCAGGGAGGACTCTCCAGGGCCACAGCATTCTCCCCCTAACTGGGGTGCCGGGGAAACCGCTGGTCAGGCCCCTGGCTGAGCGGCATAGGTGGCATTGGAGATGCTGCCCCCAGGCAGGGGTCAGTGGTTGGACCTGGCAGTTCCCTCCTGAGTCACACTGTCCTCCACACACTTCATCGGTCTTGCTCTCCATCGTGGGGAAGTATCTGCCTCTTTGTGTGCCTGGACCCTGCCCTTGCCTTCTCCTGCTCTTTCCTGCGGGTCCTGGTGCCTTATTTAGCGTCCTGTGCCCAGGTGTGTTCTGAGGCGCCCTGTGTGTGTGTCTGTGTGAAGGGCTGCCCTGTGTGCTGCCAGCATGCTGAGACAGCATGATGGGGTGTGAGCAGAGAAACACCCGAGGAGATGCCTTAGGGTGTGTGAGTATAAACACCCCCCCACACCCGGGCATGAGTGTGATACTGTGTGAACACTCCAGTGTGTGATGGTGGCTGAGTGTTCGGGTGAAAATATCTAAGATGGTGCTGTTTGTATATGTGGCAGAATGTGGAAAAGTGTGAGTGTGGAAAGGGTTGGGGTCTGAGAATGATTGCGTGAAAGGGTGTTGGCACTGTGTGGATGAGTGTGGGGCAAGTGTGTGAGCAGGAGTGCACATGTGAGTGTGAAAATGTCCATATGTACAAGTGTGATGCTGTGTGGGTGAGTGTGCAATAGTGTGAGTGTGTGATAGTACTTGCAGGTGAAATTGTGAGTGGGAACATATCCCAATGGGAGTGTGATTGTGTGCAAGTATGAGTCTGCTCAAGTGCACGAGTGTGATAACATGAGCGTGAGTGTGTTCTATGTGTGTGAAAATGCCCCTAAGTATAAAAATCTGATGCTGGAGTGTGTGAAGCACAGAGCGTGTGAGTGTGAGTGTTCAAATGTGAGTGTGGAAGTACCCTGGTGTGAGGATGTGCTAGTCTGTGTGTAAACATCCCTACTGTACGTGTGTGTGCAAAAACCTGAGTGTGGGAGTGTTTGAGCCTGTGGGTGTGGGGACCTCGACACGCATGCAGTGCTGGTGTTTGAGCATGGACCCCCAAGTGTGCAAGCATCCTGGTGTGTGAGTGTGATCGTGTCTGGATGTGTGGGTGTGATAGTATTGCAGCATGAGGGTGATTGTGTTTGGGTGGATGGATGTAAGCAGGTCCACGTGTGTGGGTGTGAGTGTGAACATCTGGATGTGCATGTATAACAGGTGGGGAGGTAGGAGTCTGGTCGTGTCTGGCCGTACAGTCTGAATGTGTCTGAAGATAAAAAAGCCAAGGTGGGGTGTGAAGTTTGAGTGTGAAAATGGCCCCGAGTGTGAGTGTCTGTGTGGGGGAAGGGTCGAGTATGTGCAAGCACATGAGTGCTGTGTGTGAGAGCCACCCCCAGCATCAGGAGCCTCGGCAACAGGCAGACACACACACACACACACACACACACACACATACACACACGCATCGTGCACACCGGCATCAAGCCCCACCTTTCTGGCCAGTGGGTGCCAGAGACAAACCAGTCCGGTGACCCCCTGAATAGAAAGGGCCCATTGTTAGCAGATGCTTATCAGTGCTGGTGCTGGGCCCCTCCACAGATGGCCCCTGCCTCCTGCCCGCACCATCGCTCCGGGGGGTCTGTGTCTCCCAAGGCCACCAGGGCCCCCTCTGGCCAGACCATCCTGGGTTGGGCACCTCCTCCACCCTTCCTGTGCTGTTGAGCCCTGGGTAGCCGCTGAGAACCAGAGCCCCAGGCTGCATGTGCTGGCCGGCGGCACTTATTCCATCCCCGCTGGGACACTGGAGCATGCTTCTCTGAGAGTTGACAGTGCCGGAAGGGCGGTGGGGAGCTGGGATGTGCCAGCCTCCCTGTCTTCTTTCCCTTCCCTGAATGCCTGGGCTCGACTCGACTCCCGCTTCCGTCAGCAAGTCATTTCACCCCCTCGGGGCCTCCGTTTCTCTCATCTGTAAAATGGGCGAGGGCCACGACCTGCCTCTTTAGCTCTCTTGGGAGTGTGGAATGACTCCGCACATGTGGCATGGGTAGAACAGAGCAGAATCCGTGCTCGTTAAAAGGTAATAGGGGTGGATTTGGGCTCCTGACAGGTCCCGGGCCTGACTTCTGCTTGCTGTTCAGCCTTTGCGATCCAATACCCTCGCACGGGGCCCTGAAAACCCTGCCCCATCCTCTCCCTCCCTTCTCACCCCACCTCTCCCACTCTGCTCCAGCCACACAGGCCTCCTTGCGAGGCCCGGTCCTGCCCCAGGGCTGTGCCCTCTGCCTGGGAAGCTGTCCCCACCCCCTCCGTCCATCATCCATCATTTTGTGACAGTTACTTGACTTGAAATCATTTTCTTCTGGTCTCTGTGCAGACGATCTGTTTCCCCACCAGGTAGCCCTGGTCTGTCCTGACTGGCTCCATCCGCTGGGCCGGACCACAGTGGGTGCACACGGTACCTCAGGGGAGCGAGCAGATGGGTGTGCTTATTGGGAGGATTTAAAAGGACAGATGACAACTGAGACCACAGGGCTTAGTATTCAGTCAGTGCTTAATAAACGGGTGAGTTTCTTGAAGAGGGGTGGTGGGGAGCTGGACACCCCCCCACTTTGGGATCTGAGCGACTAGTTGCCTCACTGCTGGGTGTCTGTCCATCCATTGCTAAGGAGCCCTGACAGCGCTTCATTAAGCGCTCGGCTGCTAACCCATAGGTCAGTGGTTCAAGCCCACCAGCTGGCCCCAGGAGAGAAACCTGGCAGGCTTCTTCTGTCCAGATGACCAACAACAAACCAAACGTGGGCTGCAGAGTGGATTCGGACCTGCAGAGCCACACTGCAGAACCGCCCTCGGGGTTTCCAAGTCTGCCCTTCTTTAGGACAGAAGCAGCTGGCCATGTCTCTTGTCCCTGTGGGGTCTGGCTGGTTTGAGCCTCGGAGCCAAACTCTCCGCAAGCTGACTTTAATCAGAACACCACCATTCCCAGGGTTGGTTTGTAGCCCTGCCCCGGCGCCCAATTCAGGGGGCCCACTTCCTGTGGACACCACAGGTTATCAGAGACCTCGTCAGTGCCCACCAACTCCACAGCACCTGCTCCCAGCACCCATCCCAGCTCCTGGAGACAGAGAGATTGTGGTCAGGTGCCATCAACTCAGTAGAGGGAAACACTGCCCTGTCCGGCGCTATCCATCCTCACAGTGGCTCTTAGGCCTGAGCCCATGGTTGCAGGCACTGTGTCAGTGCATCTCTCCCCGGCCTTCCTCCTTTCCACTGGCTCTTCATGAGGCCAAGCATGATGTCCTCCTCCCGGGACTGATCTCTTGACAACGTGTGTAAAGTGCGGGAGACCAAGGACAGTGACCCTGAGCTCGAATCTCAGTTCTATTCAGTTTTCAGGTGCCCGTGGACAAGGCCTTATGCTCTTTGAGCCTGTGTCCCCAGGGGCAAGGTCAGACTACTACTGCCTCCCTAGGAGCCCCCTGGATGGAATCAAATGGTTAAGCAATCGACTGCTGGCTGGAAAAGTGGGCGGTTCCCATACATCCAGCGGCGCCACCAAAGAAACGTCTGGCGAGTTTCTCAGAATTCTGTGGAGCAGTGCGTTCTGCGCTGCCGTCGTGGCGCGGCTGGGAGTCGCTGTGCAAACGATGACAAGACCAACTGCCTCCCTCCCATCCCAGGATCTGACCAAACCGGGGCATCACTAAGTCGCTGGTTCGGCTTGGTGGGGGGTGGAGTGGTTGCTGCCCGCCCCCCCAGTGGAGGGAGGGC